GGTGGGGGAGGAGGAAGAGGAGGAGGAAGAGGAGGATGAGGAGGAGGAGGAGAAGGCGGAGGAGGAGTGTGGGAGGTGGACTGGGGGATGATGATGCTGATGATGATGATGATGATGATGATGATGATGATGATGCTGATGCTGATGATGATGATGCTGATGATGCTGATGCTGATGCTGATGCTGATGCTGATGCTGATGCTGATGCTGATGCTGATGCTGATGATGATGCTGATGCTGATGCTGATGGTGATGATGATGATGATGATGATGATAATGATGACGATGCTGATGCTGATGCTGATGCTGAGGATGATGATGTTGCTGATGCTGATGATGATACCGATGCTGATGATGATGATGATGATGGTGATGATGATGATGATGATGATGATGATGCTGATGATGATGATGATGATTGATGAGATGATGATGATGATGATGATGATGATGAGATGATGATGATGACGATGAGGAGGAGGAGAAGGAGGAGGAGGAGGAGGGAGGAGCAGGAGGCAGGAGGAGGTGGAGGAGGAGGGGGAGGAGGAGGAGGTGAGGAGGAGGAGGAGGAGGAGGAGGAGGAGAAAGAGGAGGAAGACGAGAAGGAGGAGGAGGAGGGGAGGAGGAGGAGGAGGGAGTGGGAGGGGGAGGAGGAGGAGGAGGAGGAGGAGGAGGAGGAGGAGGAGGAGGAGGAGTGGGAGGGGAGGAGGAGGAGGAGGAGGGACGACGAGGAGGAGGAGGAGGAGGAGGAGGAGGAGGAGGAGGAGGAGGAGGAGGAGGAGGAGGAGTAGGAGGAATGGAATGGAAGGAGGAGGAGGAGGACGACGAGGAGAAGGAGGAGGAGGAGGAGGGGGAGCTGGAGGAGGAGGAGGAGGAGGAGGAGGAGGAGGAGGAGGAGGAGGATGAGACCGATCACGCTTGTGCCGATTACGCCGACGACGATGATGGCGCCCTCGCGTCTGTGATGCAGATTTTGGAGGAACTTCGACATGCGTGCGCGGCCAACGCGCGAGAGTGGCCCGCATGGTATTCTTTGGCACGCATCGTGACCCCCCCCCAGCACGCGCGCAAGGGCGTTTCAATGATTTCGACATGCGGCGCGAGGGGCCCGCTTGGCCGAATGTAATGAACACGTCGGAAGAACACCCACGTGTTTCTTAAGATCCGTAAGGGCTTCGCCCCATGCCGCCTGCCCCCTGTCTCGGAGAATGGGAGATGCAAAAGCTAAATCATGAGGTCTGGGCGCCGCCGTGAAGCAGTGTCTGGACCTGTTTGTTGTTCGACCTTGACCCAACGGATCTGCGTCACGGGTGCCACCGAATTTCAGAAATGTAGCACATCCCTTGTGTTTTTGGGCCCTGACCTTACGGATCTGCGAGAGGGGTGCCGCCGACTGTCAGAAATGTGGCAAATCCCATTTGTTGTTCTACCCTGACCCTGCCGATCTGCATGAGGGGTGCCAACGAATTATAGCAATGTGGCAAATCCCATGTGTTTTCGGACCCTGACCCCGCCGATCTGCGTGAGGGGTGCCAGCGAATTACAGCAATGTGGCAAATCCCATATGTTTTCGGACCCTGACCCCGCCGATCTGCGTGAGGGGTGCCACCGGATGTCAGAAATGTTGCAAACCCATTGTGCTTTTGGACCCTGACCCCCGATCTGCGTAAGGGGTGCCAGCGAATTTTAGAAATGTGGCAAATCCCTTGTGTTTTTGGACCCTGACCTCGCCGATCTGCGTGAGGGGTGCCACCGAATGTCAGAAATGTGGCAAATCCCATGTGTTTTTGAACCCCGACCTCGCCGATCTGCGTGAGGGGTGTTAATTTTTACCCACCCCAGCAATCCAGACAACACGCTCAGGGCGTGGTAAAAATGCCCGTGTTGGGCCTCCCTCCCTCGCGCGATTCATCAACAAGGAACAGTAAGCAGCAAGAAGCATAACTGTAACAGTGGAAACTGGAAGCTGCAACTGGCACAGGAAACTGCGAACCTTCGGCCTGCAGCTTGGTGGCCCCACAAGGGGGCCGGCGGATTCCGTAGGAGCGCGAGGCCATGCAATTTTTGATAATTGCTGATGCAAAACCATGTGTTTTAAATGTTTTCGGGGCACTCGGTTGTGACATCCTTACGCAACCAAAGGTATTTGAAGAATTTCCCCATGCGCGCGCGACGACGCGCGCGTGTGCACTTTGTCCCGTTTCTGTGAAAGGGATTCTTGCGACCGCACGCGCGCAAGGGCGTTCGAGCGATTCCGACATGCGCGCGCGAGAAGCCCGCTTGGTCGCAAGTTATGAAAATGATTAACCCATGGTTATTTCAAGCATTCGCAATAGCCCGAGGGCAAGTTGTGGTTGAAAAGTTGCGTTGCGGAACCAAGTGTGTTTCATATGTCTTCAGGACACTCGTTTTTGACATCCTTGCGACATTCACTGTTTTTGAATGGTTCCGGCTTGCGCGCGACGACGCGCGCGTATGCAGTTCGTCCAATTTCTTTGGCAAGGAATTATTGAAAACTTGTTTTTTCGAGAACGAGTGCGCGCGCATAGTATCCATCTGCAGAGGATGGTTGGAACGTTATCAGATAGGTTGGGATGGAATGAACTCATATTCAGGACGGGCGATGGGTATAATCAGGTGTAAATTGCGTTACAAAGCGGTGAGTGGGTAAGTCCGGGAGGGGACATATCCTAACACTAGTTTGGAAAAGGATTATATTTGCTGTGCAATCGTCAAGCGGAGCTAGGCAACTCCCACACGACGGCCGGCAATGACTCCAAGCAGAGCCAGGCAACGCCCACACGACGGGCGGCGACGAGGCGGCTACGGGGCGGCGACGGCGACAACAAACAAGGCGGCGGATCCGACGTTGGGGCCCACAGAACGGGCGGCCACGAGGTGGCGACGGGGCGACGACGGCGATAACAGTTCGGCGGACCTGACACCTGGGCCCAGACGACGGGCGGCCACGGTGCGGCGACGGGGCGGCGACGGCGCAACAGCGGCGGACCGGACACCGGGGCCCAGAGGACGGGCAGCGACGAGGCGGCGACGAGGCGGCGACGGGGCGGTGACGGTGATAACAAGGCGGCGGACCCGACACCGGGGCCAAGTTTCTTATCAAAGGAATCAAAGATCCCGAAGTGCAAGCACTGTTTGGGGGAACTCATATTTTTGCTTGTTTGCGTTTTCAGATCTGTCGTTTCCCATCGTCGGCGCCTGCTACGGACGGGTCGTGGGCTCCCAGGCGAATTTCGCACCGGTGTCAGACTGGTGTCACAGCGTGGTGTTTGTTGTTGCAGTTTTCGGCCCTGCGCACGGAGTCCATTTTCAGCCCCCCCCCCCCAGTCGATGGATATTCCGACGAGGTTACGACGAGAACGAAGGAGTGGGAACGAAGACGGCAGGGAAAACAATGATCAGCCTGCGACGGGAAAGCAAAAGGCGTTTAGAACAACATGTCGCACAACCGGACCTGAAAACGCTGAACAACTATGCTAAACAAACGCTTACACGTAGCATGATTGTTGTGCGTTCGCAGCTCGTCAAGAGCCCAAAGTAGAACACGCGATCATGAAAACCAATGAAACGCCCAGGGCGTTTCTAAGATGTACCATGTCATTGGGATGCCCTGAGGCAGGGCTGAATGGGACAGGGCAAGCCCGACTCCAGACCCCCAAAAAGCGAACCACGGACATCTCGGGCAGAGGAGGAGGAGGAGGAGGAGGAGGAGGAGGAGGAGGAGGAGGGGGGAGGAGGAGGAAATGGAGGAGGAAATGGAGGAGGAGAAGGAGGTGGAGGAAGAGGTGGAGGCGGTGGAGGAGTAGGAGGACCAGAGTGGACCCAGTATGCATCAACGCCGAAGGGCGCCCTCCCGCTCTAAATCGCCTCTTCTCGCGGGTCCCTGCACGCCGTCCTTCTCGTTGCGAGGGGCGCACCCTTGAGAGACGAGCGCCCCACTGGCACTGACATTCCAGCAAGAGCCCTGCCTTGAAATTCAGCTGCTGTGCTTCCTCCCAGCGGCGAGCGAGGGGGTAAGTGAGGAGGAGAAGGCCTTCTCAGAAGGCCGCGGGACTTCTCATACGTCCTCGTGCCTTCAAATATGTATTCTGTGGCTTCAGGGAAGGCGCAGTCAACTTTTCAGAGGGCCAGGCGACCTCCGAGCCTTCTAAGAAGGCCAGCTCCCTCTCACTTCCCCTCAGGGCGCGCCGCCTATCCTCTGAGAGCGGTGGACGGAATGCGAACAGGTAGGACCATAAAGTCCAACGATGCGTCCAACGGTAGCCTCGCTTCTTAGGAACATGCAACATTGGAGGGACCTCCACCACCCGTGCAACCGCTGCACATGAGCTGGTCATCAATGGCGGCGCGCCCCGTGGTGCAAAGGGGGCCGCACTCCATCCGTGCAGCTCTTCAACAGATTCCAGCCTCTGGCCAAGAGAGGAAGGAGAATCTGCTATAAACTTTGGAGATGTGCACAGCAGGTCGCCCTGCTGAAGCGGCGAGCTGTGTCACCTGCCTCACAGCTCGTTGCACTTCAGGCAGTGAGGGCGTCGAGCCCCAAAAAAGAGTGTGCCGGGTGCTCGCCTCAGTCGCGATATCCGTTCCGCTGACGTACCGCGCTCTATCCTTGTACCTGCTGCAGACTGTTTCGGCGCATGTGCGCAGCGATACGGCGATAGAACCCTTTGAGGCAGGTTCGTTGTCGATCCTTGAAGCTGCGGCAAACTTTGGAGACGAATGCGCACGGCGCCACGGCGACAACCCCATTTTGGAAAGGACCGGTCGTCCATCTTTCATGCTTGTGAAACTGTCCAGACGGATGCGCACGGCGCGAAGGCGAAACACCACTTCCCCCAAACACCCGTTTCCGTAGGGGTGCCATTTGTTTCAAGAAAGCCCGTTGTTAAATCACAGTATGCGTCACATGTGCCGCTAGAGCGCAGTGCCGCGCAGTGTCGTGTCCGAGTTCCAGGCTGCGAAACAGAAAATCTTGCCGTGCCGTGCCGTCACCTCAGAGTGCGAAACCGTTGTCAATGTTCGGCCAACCCTCTCAGCGTCCGCGACCTTCGGCGGCAGCAAGTGATTAGTTTTTGTTGTTTTTTGTTTGTCAAAAACGAAACATGGCATGTTCCAGAGTTGTCAGCAGCTGCGCCGCGCGGAACGGGGACGCCAAACCCTCCACCCGTCTTTCGTTCATTCTTCCCCGCCCCGCCCCCCCCGCGCCGCCAGGACGACGTTGCGAAGGCCGAGGTCTGTGCCGCGCTGGAGGTGGCGATAGCCAGCGCTCATTTTTTCTTGCGGAGGAGGAGGAGGAGGAGGAGGAGGAGGACGAGGAGGAGGAGATGGGCACAAACATATGCCCTTTGTTTGGACGGTGCAGCTGCGTCGCCGTCGGTTGTACCCAGTCGCCTTGTTGTGTCGTTGCGGCGTCGCGGCGATTCTTCCGGGCTGCATGCGGCCTGCCGGCGTCGGCCGAGCTCGTGTTCGACGTCGGTTCTGTCATTTTTCGGTTGTGCCGTCGCCGTGGACGGCTTTTGGGGCAGGGTTGCCAGTCGATTGCCTTGGGCATTTCTACGAAATCTTGTCCGGGCCGAGCCCCAGCGCCCTTGCAGAGGCGGCAAGCAAGCAGCGCTTCCGAGCTGGCCTCTCCTCTAAAGGCCCTGCGCACTACAGCCTGGCGTGGCGGCGCAGCAGAAGCTGACCCCGCAGGCTTCGCGGAGACTTTTTGGGGTTTGGGGCGCCGCTGCTCAATACAAAAAGCTGGTGTCCCCGCGCGGGTGTGTACGATCTCCAAGGAGGCCGACAAATGCAGACAATGCATACGTCGAGAAGCAATTCAGAGTGGTGGTCTTTCTTTTGCCCTTCGTGCTCTCTGCTTTGTTGGCCGATTCGTGGCTCGTCCGGGCCTGTCTTCTGGCGGATCTTCGTGTGTCGTTGGCGGCGCTCTGGCCAGCATATTACTGTGAATCCAGTTGTTGTGGCGAGTGCGATTCACGAGACCCCAAGGTTACCCGCGGACTTGGAAACTTCCAACCTCGAGCCTCGACCCTCTGGAGGGGCGACCCAGAAGGCCCCAGAAGTTCCAAGACCGTCAAAAAGCCTCGGCTCTCGGTCCTCGACGACGGCGGCGTCGACGAGGTCCCCAGAGGTGCCATGAGGTTCGTGCGTGGATGCCTCCGAAGGGCTCCGTGGGGGCCAAAAACCTTCACACGCTTTCCTATAATCGCTTCTCCAAAGTCGACCCTCGGCCCCTGGACGCGGCCACGGGGACGACTCCAACGACGAGAACGACGACGACGACGACGGCGACGACGACGAGGACGACGAGGACGACGAGGACGATGACCGCGGCGACGACGGCGGCGGCTCTGCGACGGCGCCTGCCGCGGCCGCCGCCGCCGCCCTCCGCGCCCCGATGCCTCGACCCCCGCGGGCCCGCCGAAGGCCCACCGAGCGCCCGCCGAGGCCCACCGAGGGCCGGCCGAGGCACCGCCGAGCGCCGCCGTGGGCCGCCCCGGGGGGGCCCGCCGAGGGCCCGCCAAGCGCCCGCCGAAGGGCGCCCGCCGCGGGCCCTGCGCAGAGGGCCCCGCGGCGGCCCGCCGAGGCCCTCGGCAGCTCGGAGGACCGCGCCCGCGAGGAGGTCCACGGCGCGCTCTGCGCCGCCCTCGGCGAGGCGCCCCCCGCCCTGCGACGCCTGCGCCGCCGACGTGGTCGACGTCGTCGTCTTCGTCGTCGTCGTCGTCTCCGTCTTCGTTTTCCCTGGTCGTCGTCGTCGTTTTCGTCGTCGTGGCCGCCGTCGTCGTCGTTGTCTTCCTCGTCGTCGTCGTCGTGGTCGTCGCCGCCGCCGCCGGCGGCGCCGCCGCCGCGGTCGTCGTCGCTGCCTTGGCTCGAGGGCTCGATGTTCTGCTGGACGTGCTTGCCCCTTGTCGGGCGTCCAGAGACTTCCGTGGACCTCAGTTGTCGCCGACGCCGCTATCGTCGCTCGTCGCCGCCGCCACCGTCGTTGTAGTTGTGGACGACGTCTCGTCGCTGTCTTCTCGAGGCTAGAACGGAAGCCGACCGCCACCGTCCTGAAATTTCTCGACCTCTTGCCCCAGCCAAGCGTGCACGTGTGTACCTCAAAAATCACGTGTCGGAGGATGTGGAGGCTGAGGGTGGTTGAGAAACTTGTACGCCGATCGGCATGCTGTTTTGCACGGCGATTGTAAGTGCGTTTCGATGTTGGTTCGAACATAGTCTCTCGGTTCGCGTGCAGTCGGGCTTGTACGTTTAGGAGTCGTGGGCATTCCGAAGTGTAGATGATGTGCGTCCAGACTTTTATTTCGAATTGCACATGGCCCACAATATGATAAAACAGGTGCTGGTTTGCATTTCTATTCAGGGGTTGATGTGCGATGCGATTGGTTGTTCGCGTTTCGATGTGCGATGCGATTTCTATTCAGAGGTTGACACGCGTGTCGATGTGTGTGTATGATTCGCAAGTCAAGTTGCTTGGCGACTTGCATTTCCAAGAGGGCAACCGCAAGTTTACCTAGAGGTCAACTATTGGACAACCTACGGAGCAACCCATGAACGCACAAACGAGAGAACCCACGTGACAACTACGGTTCAACCCACTGGACAGCCCACGAGACAACCACAGGACAACCCACGGGACATCCGCGGGGCAATCACGAGACAACCCACAGGGAACCACCCCGGAGCAACCACGGGATCGCCCACGGGACAACCACGGGACAAGCTGAGGTACATTCACGGGACAAGTCACGAGACCACCCCGCACCCCGCGCCCCAGGGGCGAACCATGTCGCACGGTATGGGCCCCGGCGTTCTCGGCGCTCCGTGCGACGAGGTGCGCGCGCCACACTGGCCAGCAGGCAACGGCGCGAAATGTCTGGTTTCACGCGCGCCTGTCTGCAGTAAGAGGGAATACAGCGGCGCCGCAGCAGGCGAGGGCGAGGGGGTTAGGCGGAGTTGGTGGAGCATGTGAGGGCGAGAGGAGGGGGAGGCTGGGGATGGTCTCGAGGCAACGCTGTTGATGGACCTCGCGAGCGTGCGTGGTACAAGCTTTCGGCCTCATGGGCCTCCTTCATCTCCTTGCTCCTCATTTAATACATGCTACCACTATACGTCTGCCGTCGAAACGAGTTGCGCCAAAAAAGCGCCGCCAGAAGGAGCCGCGGCTGGCCTCACCTAGTGGCCGCTCTGGGGTTGCTGTCTCTTTGTTTCCGTCCGAAGGCAAGGCTGTTCTGCCACAGCGACGCGCTAATGGATTCCCAACGGCGGCGCGTGTCATTGAGCCCAGTTCAGGCCAGCCGAAGCCAGCTGTGACCTCTCCTCTCGGCATCACGATCTGTCTCGTGACGCGGGCCCACGAACATCTCGACCCCCTTGCCTGGCGGCCGGCTCCTCATCGTGAGGTTTGTCATCCCGATGTGCTTTTGTTGGGCGGCCCCGGTGCCTGAAACGTGCTTCCGCAGGCCGATACCCGGATCTCGGACGACGTGGTAGCTTCAATCCCAGCGTTTTTCCTGGACGTCGGCCCCTGCGGCCCCGTATCGGGCCCCGTGGCAACCTCACTTGCATCCTGGACGAAAGCACACCCTTGGGAAAAGGTTCAGACATCTGGGGCCGCGCACTGAACGCATATCATCGGGTGCCCCCAGGGCAGCATCACTTGCATCCTGGACGAGGGCGCAACCCTGTGGAAAGGTCCAGACATTTGGGGCCGCGCACTGAACGAGAATATCATCGCGTCGTCGTCGTCGTCGTCGTCGTCGTCGTCGTCGTCGCCCGTCGCTCGTCGCTCGTCGCTCGTCGCTCGTCGCTCGTCGCTCATCGCTTGTCGCTCGTCGCTCGTCGCTCATCGTCGTCGTGCTTGCGGACGCGGCTGGAGCCGATGTTTTTTGAAACGGGCCGATGACGGCAATCACTTGGGAGGGGTGCTTGGGGCCGATGCCGTCACGTTTCGCGCCAGCGGCGTCTGGGAATGCCTAGGAATGACAGGGGATGGGTAGCAACATCATGTAGGTGGCGATCTGCACCACAGCGCCTGTGTATACCCCGCCGCCCATGTACACCACAGCAGCCGCGTGCAACACAGCGCCAGGGTGTGCCACAGTGCCTGCGGGCACCACAGCGCTTGTGTACACCACAGCGCCTGCGTATACTACATTTACCGTGTGCAACACAACGCCAGTGTACACCACAATGCCCGCGCGCACTCGCCTGTGTACACTAAGGCGCCTGTGTGCACCACAGCAACCGTGTGCAACAGAACACCACGGTTGCCTATATGTTTGTAAAAGAGCATGTGGATTCCCAAGAACAAACAATCGTTTTATACAGGAATAGGACAGGAGGCCTCTTCGAAAAAGGAGCGGCGCTGGAATCTACCCTCCCGGGTCCGCCCGTATCATCCTAACTCCAATCTGCGTCCAGGACGTTCCACCATAATTGGCCGTCCTAGTCCCAAGTGGACTACTTCAATAGATCATTATGCAGTGCACGGTGAGATGCGCACGTGCATTGAAGCGCCGACCCGCACGAAAGGGGGGGGGGAGGGAGCAGGAGGAGGAGGAGGAGGAGTAGGAGGAGAAGGAGGAGGTGGAGGTGTCGGTGGGGGTGGGGGAGGACGGAGGAAGAAAGGACGTCGCATTACATTATCAGTACTTCCATGGCGTATCGTTTACTTTTCCGCAGCAGATCATCACCCACGTGTTTCTTTGGACCTGTCTTTCTATCCAATGCACGCAGGCACTGTGCTGTACATCAGCGGTGCGTTGCACGCGGATGCTGTGGTGTAGATAGGCGCCGTGGTGTGCATAGGTGCTGCTGTGCACGTAAGCATTGTGGTGTACACAGGCGCTGTGTTGCACATGGCTGCTGCGGTGTACACAAGCGGTGTGGTGTACACCGGCGCTGTGGTGCACACGGCTGTTGCGATGTACGCAGGCACTGTGGTGTACACGCGCTCTGTGGTGCACGCGAGCACTGTGGTGTACACAGGCGCTGTGGTGCAGATCGCTTCCGACATGCTGCTCGTGACGTCGTTGTCGTCACTCGTCGCTCGTCGCTCGTCGCTCATCGTCGTCGTGCTGGGCGCGGCTGTGGTGCCAGCCAGTGTCACACGGCGGGGGGGGGGGGCGTTACGTCAAACCCCCACCTGCCAGCCCCATCCCCCATGACGCCCGTCATCGCCGAAAATAAAGGAACGTGCTCTAACGCCCAAGTGGCCTTCGATATTGCCCAACGGCGTCCATTAGCGCCGAAACAGCGCCCAGATGGCGTCCAAAAGCGTCCCCCAATGGCGCCAGATGAGGGGGGCTGCATTTAGTCCGCTTTGCGCGCTATTGGCCGTGCTCACGGGCTCTGTGGTGACGACCAGAAAATTCCGTGAGTGGATGTCCACGGTCAGGATCTATCGCTTGCCGTGTCGCGCCGCCGGTTTTGGCCCACCGCTCTTCGACGCGACACGCCAACCACGTCCCAGTCCCCAGGCATCAATGTCCCGAGCCTTTCCCGACCTCCCGCCCCGATCAGCGGAGCGACACACCATCCGCCCGCAAGGCACAGCGTGTCGCTGGGGCCGCCGCCGCGAGACGCTGAGCAAAATTTCCCGGCCGCAACACTTCTGGTCAGTGGCGAGGGCGAGCGCACAGCGCGTTCGGGCAGCTGGCGGCAGCCCCGGGGGCTACGGGCACAAACAGACGACACGCTGAAAAATCTACCACAGTTAGGAGTGGCCCTTCGCCGAAATGTCTTTTGGTGTGGGCTCGTCGAGGTCCCCCCGGTAGTTGCACGCAATGCGATATCCTACCAGCATCACTACTACTGCTACTACTACTACTACTACTACTACTACTACTACTACTACTACTACTACTACTACTACTACTACTACTACTACTACTACTACTACTACTACTACTACTACTACTACTACTACTACTACTACTACTACTACTACTACTACTACTACTACTACTACTACTACTACTACTACTACTACTACTACTACTACTACTACTACTACTACTACTACTACTACTACTACTACTACTACTACTACTACTACTACTACTACTACTACTACTACTACTACTACTACTACTACTACTACTACTACTACTACTACTACTACTACTACAACTACAACTACTACTTCTACAATTACTACTACGACTGCTGCTACTACTACTGACACTAGTAATATTACTTCTACTCCTACTACTACTGCTACTACCACTCCTACTGCTACTACTACTACTACTACTACTACTACTACTACTACTACTACTACTACTACTACTACTACTACTACTACTACTACTACTACTACTACTACTACTACTACTACTACTACTACTACTACTACTACTACTACTACTACTACTACTACTACTACTACTACTACTACTACTGCTACTGCTACTGCTACTGCTACTGCTACTGCTACTGCTACTGCTACTGCTGCTATTACTACTATTATTACTACTACGATTGCTATTTTCATTATTATTACTACTACTACTACTACTACTACTGCTACTACTACTACTACTACTACTACTACTACTACTTCTACTACTACTACTACTACTACTACTACTACTACTACTACTACTACTACTACTACTACTACTACTTCTACTACTAATACTGCTGCTGCTGCTGCTACTACTACTACTACTACTACTACTACTACTACCTTCCCCGGGAGTGTCACCGCGGACCAGAGGTCACTATTGCCTAGGTTCACTCTTGCATGCAGCAGAAAAAAGGACGCCCGCGGAGTGGGAAAGATGGAGGATGCGTCCTTGAGTGTGACACTTCGCTGCGAGGTGTGCGCGAGAGGCCTCAGGGGGGTCAATGTTTTGTGAAAACTGTGCGGCCAGTCCAGGCCCCAATGGTAACACACGCATCCGTGGCGTTTTTGTTTTGCCGGGTCGGTTCCCGAGCCCAAGGGTGGCCCGCATGAGGCCAGGAATTATCGAGAGGGGGTCCTCCGTGTCCCAGCTTCTGCACATTCCCTCCCCGGGCTCCCGCTGTCTGGGTGAGCCTCTCGGTCCTCCACGAGAATCGGGGGGGGGGGGGCACGACAACAGGTGGCACCTTTGCGGCACCCTTGCGAAAGCAGCTTCGCGCGGCTCACGACCGGGTGCCACGATAGGGGGCCACGAGGGGGGGGACAGGGCACGATGGCCAGCCACGACGAGGGGCCAGGCCAGGCCGCCGATGTCGGGGGCCCGGGCTCCGTGACTAGTCACAGTTCAGAGGCGTAGTACAATGATCGCCTGTTTGCAGTTTTTGTTCGGCAAGGCTGTCCGCGCGCGCAGCGGGAACGAGCGAGGGGACGGGGGGCTGGCCTTCTAGAGCGTCGGGGGGGGGCTTGTTGGGGAAGGCCCAGAGGACGAGGAGGAGGAACAGAAGGAGAAGGAGGAGGAGGAGGAGGATGAGGACGTTGAAAAAAACCCTGGTCTGCAGGAAGCCCCCCCCCCCCCCCCCAGGGGACTGAGCGCGCCCCCGGGCCCCCCCCCCCCCGCACCACCCGCTCCTCTGCGGCAGCGACCCCCGCCCCTCCCCTCTCGGGGGAAACGATCGGGGGGGGATGGGCATAGGGGGGACGCATCGACCCCCAATCGCTCATTGATCGCCGATGGGTGTCCGATAGCCCCAACCTGCCCAGCAAGGTGCGGATTCACTATCGGGGGCCTGTCGCCGATCTATCGGCGATGTATCGCCGATTCCAGGTCGATGCATCCCCCGCCTGTGCCAGTCCCCCCTTCTCGTTGCACCTTTCCCTCCTTCAGACAGGGAGCCAGGGAAGCCTCCGCTCGTTTCGCGTCGAGAGCGTGGTTCGCGCCTTGCGATCAGCGTCGCGCGCGTCGCGCCCAAGAGCGCCGGATAGCGCCTACTTTTACGTCGGTCATGTCCCTTCCACAGGAGGAGTATTCAAAAAATAGTCCAAAAATAGTCTTGGGAGGATTTGCTCTTGTTTTTGTTGCTGTGTCCTGCGCGTGCTCTGCTATGTCACAGTTCTATTCCAAAACCCGCCTGTTGGAGGACATGCCCGACCCAAGCCTACACAGCGCCCAATCGCGCCAGGTGAGGGAGATGTGCTGCTCAGGAGGGGAAAAAACACACAGACACAATCAATCGTCGGTTCCCAAGAGAGTATGGGAACAAATGTGGATTGGGGAGAAGACAAAAACCCAGAACAGATGGACAAGTATGCGGAATCCTTCTATTTGCGTGTATTTGTTTGTATGTCCCAGGGCCCCTTCAGCTGCGTCCGCTCTGCGCGCTGCGGGGCGCGCCGTCGGGTGCCACGAGGACGACCCCGACGATCCCGAGAGCAGCACTGGCCAACGCCCGAGCCAGGCGCCGCCCTCGCCGGGCGCTCCCGAGGCGGCCGCTCGGCCGGGGCCCGCGTGGAGCTCGCCGCTGCTGCTGGACTTCCAGGCCCCTGCGGCGACGGCGAGGACCGACGGTGGCGACGACTGATAGGCCTGTTTTCCACCACCACCACCATAAGTTGGAGGGGGAGGGGTCCTCCTCCTCCTCCTCCACTTCCTCCTCCTCCTCCTCCTCCACCTCCTACTCCTCCTCCTCCACTTCCTCCTCCTCCTCCAACTTATGGTGATGGTGGTGGAAAACAGGCCCATCAACGACGACTGCGGCGACGGCGCCGACGGGAAGGGGGCCAAGGAGGAGGATGGGGAACCGAGGAGGACGCGGAGCAGGAGGAGGGCCAGGAGGACCGGGAGGAAGAGAGGTGATGAGAGGGAGGTCCGGGTCGAGGCGGAGGATGAGGAGGACGGCGACGACCAGGAGGCTGTCTGCAAGGTGGATGAGGAGGAGGACAAGGCGGAGGAGGAGAAGGAGCAGGAGGGTCTCATCGCAACCGCTCCATCGTACACTCCTCGGCTTGAGCTGCACAGAGAGGTTGATGCAGAGCACGTTGTAGACGTCCCAGAGGGGTGCAAAGATATATTGAGCTTGGAAATATTGATCCCTAATTAGGCCATCTGAGATAAGCACATATGTATTTTCCAACATTTGGAGACGTTGCCCATGCCGACCGACAAACATACATATGCACGATCCAGGGCTGGCCTGTTTGGATCGCAAACGGCGGCCCCAATGGACCAGAGGAGGTGGTTCCAGGGGAAGGTGGAGGGCACGAGGCACTGTCCACAACATCCTCGAACACCCACAGCCAGGTTTAAGCTCAACGTCCTGTTGCACAAGAGCTGGGAGCTTCAGAGGTACCACATATTCGACTTGTCGTGCACTTGCGGTCGTACCCAGAGCTGGCTTACCATTATGTGCCCGACACGTATGGCAATATGTGAGGCGAAGTAGACGGCATTCGACATATGCTGTATTATTGGTAACACCAAGCCATTGGCGTGATCCAAGAAGAAAGAGATGAACGTAGACAACGTATGTGGAAGACACTACGAAGCGAATGTGAACACGCAGAGAAAAAACACCTGAGCGACTCTTCACCCTTGGCCATCGAAGTAATTTAAGCAGTGTAAGCAGAAAGGATTTGTATATATGGCGCTTAAGAACGGATTCGAAGAGACAGGCCGAGACTTTGTTGCACCACCTTAGTGTCACAGCGTTGGCATCATCATCTACACCGTCACCATTACCCTTACCATCATCAGGATCCACATCAATTTACACATCCACATCCGCATCGTCATCGTCTCTCTCCATACCTCTCCTGATCGGCACCAGCCATTATGGCCCAAAAGGACACCATATTCCGCGCGCTGGCTTTCTGTGTCGGAGGAGGTGGAAGTGGAAAAGAGGATGGAGGTGGAGGAGGATGAATCTCTGAGGGCATCTTTACCTTGGCCCTGGACCGACCATCAGTCGGAATGGTTCGGATACGATGCGGAGGGGGTGGAGCCGCCCAGGTTCATCAGGGAGGTCGTCGCTGCACTTTGAGTACAGTCTCTCGGCGCACGGTCCTCTCGAGAGTATTATCACAGCGGCCGTGTTCATAGAAGATGTGGAAATGAGGCAGAGGAAACAGAGGTATGGGGAGGAGGGGTGCTTAGGCCGATCGGCTCCGCTCAGGGCGCGTGCTGGGTGTCCAAGGAGACGGCGCAGCCGTGAATGTGATTTGTTTCGACCTTGCCCCCGAGCTTTGGTTGTCGCCGCTTGGTGCAGGCTCTGCCAGCAGTGACCGACGGCATCGGAGCCAACAGGAGCCAGCAGGAGCCGAGCGCAGGAGGAGCAGGTTGGTGGCAGATGGTTGGGGAGAGCTCAGCTCAACAGTTTGCGCATCACCGTTGTTAGGCACCATATTGGGAATCATGCGAACACGTCGCAGTTATTTTGAGCCTCGGTGAAGACAATCGTGGAAGACAGATTCGCGGACGTCCCCGCTTCACGGAATGCCACATGGAGCGCGCCTCAGCGTTCGGGGTCAGCGCGTGTTGTTTGGGAGGAGGAGGAGCAGCAGGAGGAGGAGGAGATGCAGGAGGAGGAGAAGGAGGAGGAGGTCAGGCAGGAGGTACGGTGGGATGGATGATCAATCAGCTATGATCAAGCCCTGTTTTATTACGAGCGACGCCCAGGCCAGGCATCATAGACTGAACTAGCCTTCGACCTGCATCTAATAAGATCTGTTACGCACGACCTCTGCAGCGAGTGCAGACTCTAGCATCTTCTACTGGTCGCCAGGGATCTCGGCGAGGGCAATAGGGCTGTGGCGGGATTTTGTGGTAGGAGTGTGTGGTAGGAGTGGGCATGTGCGGGGGACTACCTTTCCGACGCCTGCAGATCTAATACTCTATGTCTTCGCCGGTTTCTCCACAGTCCCGTGTCTCTTCGCACCGCCAGCGCCGCTTAGACTGCACTTGGGAGATTTGAGTTGTTTTCTCGTGCCGGTGCCAGTTGAAGGCTGCAGCCCAGTTTCTATAGCCCGCCTGACATGCCAAAAAGTTACGCGCATCCTCGTCGGCGGAGTCCTCCTGCTGCTCCCTTCGATGGACAGGAGCAGGAGGAGGACTCCGCCGACGAGAGGAGAGCGGCAGCAGGGAGCACTTGGGAGGATGGGGGGGCGGGGGGCAGGAGGGCGAGGAGGAGGGAGGAGGAGGGCTCGGCGAGAGGGGGGCGAGCTGAGCCGGGAGCCGGGAGCAGCAGGCGGGGGGGGGGGACTCAGCGGCGGCGGCGCGGGAGCCGACGTCGCCGCGGCGGGCCCGCAGGCCCCGGCCTCGTGGGCGGCCAGCGGCCGCGCGGCGGGCGGCGCGGGCAGCGGCGCGACGAACGGCGACGGAGGCGGGAGGGGGCGCCGGGGGGCGGACGACTCTCCCTTCGCCTCTTCCTCCTCCTCGCCTCCCCCTCCTCCTTCTCCTCCCTCCTCTTCCTCTTCCTCTCCTCCTCCTCCTCCTCCTCCTCCCTCCCTCCTCCCCCTCCTCCTCCTCCTCCTCCTCCTCCTCCGCCTCCTCCCCCCCTCCTCCTCCTCCTCCTCCTCCTCCTCCTCCTCCTCCGATTGGCTACATGTAGGAGTGACCCTTCGCCAGAGTGTCCTTTGGTTTGGGCTCATTGGGGTCCTTGTCGACACGCCATCCGCCCGCAAGGCATAGCGTGTCGCTGGGGCCACCGCCGCGACACGATGAGCAAACGTTCCCGGCCGTAACAGTTCTGGTCAGCGGCGCGGGCGAGCGCACAGCGCGTCCGGGCAGCTGGCGGCCGCGCCGGGGGCAACGGGCACACACAGACGACAAGCTGAAACATCGACTACACGTAAGAGTGACCATTCGCCAGGGTGACCTTTCAAAAACAGCCCTGTCGTTTCCAGGGCAGGGACAGCATTGGGGGCGTCGGCGTTCGGACGTGCAGGGGGCGCTCCGGGGCAGGTGTCCGCACCCTCTCCTCTCCGGCCTCGGGCAGCTGCGCCTCGCCGAGGGCGTTCCGGCTTCTGCCGGGGCCTCCTGACGGGTTCATTCCAAGGGTGCACATTGTTCGACGACGCGTAGGAGTGCCCCTTCGCTGGATGGACCTTCGGTGCGGGCTCATCGGGCCTCCCCGATCGCAGAGCTTGGATTTGGCCACCCTGCGCCCTCTCAGTCCGCGCGCCAAGGGTCTCTCTTGCCCAGTGCCACTTGTGCGTGTAGCCGAATGGTGGTGTGGGCTCTTCCCGAGGCCTCCTGAGATTGCATTCCTGGAGCGCTGCGGTGGAAATGTGCTGGTGGGGGGACACGCGGATTGGCAGGAGAGCGAGGCAACGACGTCCACACAGTTGTTGCTCTCAAGATTCCTTTGAGATAGTGTCCTCGTTTTGATCAGGGCGCTTCCTGCTCCATCCTCCCAGCTCCCCGTCCTCCCTCGCGCCTCCTCTCGTCCCTGCACGCTCGGGTCAGGTTGCCCAGATGACCAGCTCGGAAGCCGGGTCTCCCCTCCCCCACTTCTTGTGGCCCTGGACCACGGCAACCGGGGAGGCAGGCAGGCGAGGTGGGATAGAGCAGTGGTGGTCGAGCCTGCCGTGAGCGAGGCAGAGCCCTTGGCCCACCGGACGAATCGATGTGTTCTCTCACCCTGCATGGGGGTGCCCCAATCAGGGTCGTGCCTCCTGAGCTTTCGGAGCAGGGAGGGGGTGATAACTAGGCAACACGTGCTTCGCAGCATGGGCAATACGTGTAGCCCGTCCAGCGGTTCGCAGTTGCAGAGGTCTGGGTGCCATAAACCATGGATGCAGCATGCGCGTTATGTTTAAGCGCGCAAAACACGGCATAGTATCCAGTGCAGTTACGTTGGGGAAATCTGTTGCAACTGCCCGCCGCAACCTCATGCCTGCGAATCTCAGCATCCAGTTTGCCAGTACGGTGATGGGTTGCTACGCACGTGAATGCACTTTGAGGAAGCACTTTGTGCTGAGGGCCATGAGGGGTGCGGAGGGAAGGTGGCATGCCAAGCTCATCTGGATCAGGAGATTTGGACCCGTCATCGAACTCAGACGACAATCCCCAGCGCTACTGGGACGAGGCTGTGCAGGACTACGGGGAGGTGGCCACACATCTCAATTTCTTTTGCCGCCCAAGAGTCTGATGTACCCTCACCTGCGCTGCGCATCGTTGTTGGAGACTTGCGTGCAGAAAGTTCGGGAGAGGGGCATAGTGGGAGGCGACAGCGATGAGGGCAGGACATGCAGTTGTCGTTGACGATGATGAGCGATGACGATGATGACGACGATGATGCTCATGATGGTGATGGTGGTGGCGGTGATGCTGATGACGACGATGATGCTGCTGCCGATGATGATGATGATGCTGCCAATGATGATGCTGCTGATGATGATGTCAATGATGCTGATGATGATAATGATCGTCATGCTGATGGTGATGGTGATGCTCGTGGTGATGTTTTTGATGCTGCTGATGATGCTGATGACGATGCTGATAACGATGATGACGATTCTGACAATACATGTGATGAGTATACTTATGGTAGTGATGATGACGGTCGTGTATACGATGATTAGGATGAACCGGGTCCAGTGCCGCCATGTCTCTCCTCTCGTCGTGACCTTTTTCTTTCTCATACTAGACTATCATTTCTCCGATTTGTGTACAGATGATGTGCGAGTGGGCATCGAAGGCAGGCAGGCGGGCGCGCCATGAGCAGCTAGCCTGTTTCTTGAGAGTGCACGGGCGGCGCAAAAGGACGAATACTGAGATGTGGAGGAGGAGTAGGAGGAGTAGTAGGAGGAGGAGGAGGAGGTAGCCGAGGAGAACGAGGAGAGTGAAGGAGCAGGAAGGGCGGCTGTACAACGAGGACGATGACGACGATAAAGTGCATGGGGGCTGGATGGGGGATCAGGAGGAGGAGGGATACTGGCAAGGGGCGGTTGAGAAGCAGGTACGCTGGGGAGAAGGACCGGGAGCGGCAAATAGCTCTAGCAGCAGCAGGGGTGGCAGTAGTGAGAGGAGGGCGGGTGAGGAGAAGGATGTGGAAGAAGAGCTGGAAGGGCAGATGCTACCCTAGAACAGTGGGGGGAGCGGTGACTTGATGAAGTCGTAGTATGGCACTGATGATCGCCTGGTCTCTTGAAAGGTTGACCTCGACGCCTTCAAGGGTGCGGCAGGAGAGGTCCTGGATAAGATGTTGCTCGACCTCATGGACGATGTGGTTGCCGGGCCGCATTTGCCTTCACAAGAAGTCGAGCCGATAAGACAGAATTCCCCGATCATGGTTATTTATGTTTCATATTTGTTTATGTAGCGTTCCAGACATTACTTGCTTTGGAGGATAGGAAGAGATGTCATCTCTTCCTCGGCGGAAGGCGGTGAAGGGCGGCGGAAGGTCAGCGGAAGTAAAATGGGGCCGCCTCCGCTGGCGGAAGCCTGCGGAAGCCCGGCGGGAGGCGGCGGAAGTACAAGAAGTCCCCCCGAGAGATGCGATATTTTTGGGCTTAGGGTTTCTGACGTCGCCCATGTGTATGTTTTGAACAACGATTGAGGAGTTGGCGAAAACTCGTAAGGGTTGGAATCGCATCGCATAAAGGGGGTGCATTGGTTCTTGCGTTTTGGAGGGGCGCGCCGATGATGTGTGTGTGTGTGTGACAGCTCTTCGGGCCCGGGTATGGGTTCTCCAAAGCCCTCGTGTGTTCCCCGCTCTCTCGCCCCCAGCGATAACAGCGCGCCGACGTCGAGCGCCTGTTTCCACGCGAACTTCCCCCCCCCACACACACGAAGATACCAATATTGATTTGCTTTCTGCCCCTCCCTACAGTGGAAACCCGTGCCAAGAAACACCCTGCTTGCCTCCAGGGTGGCCTGGGTTTCTTGGGTTTCAATGGTTCTGGGATCTCAAGGTTGGGTTTTTTATGAAAGGTTTCTTGTGGTCGAGCCCCTACTGTACGGTCATCATAGTAATGATGGGCAATCTTCCCAAGGGTGCCCTTGCATCCCTGCCCCTTCGGCCCATACTTTTAGCGACTTTCGCTGACCAGCCTCGTCTCGCTGGCAATCCGA